AATAAGATCTCAAATGTCACTTTAATTTTCAGAACATTTATTCCTGAGTGTGTGAGGAGCTCCATCTCCAGCAGTCAGGCGAGAGGCGGGAGACCCCTGTACATCCCAGTTAGCAAATGGTTTGTTTTAAACAGGCTTTTACTTTTTCATAAATAGGTACTATATACCTCCATTTATACATTGTCCATTGGAAAGTGTGATGCAATTATTGAATGAACAAATGAGAAAACTCACTCCAAACACGTCTCTGAAGCAATATTTGTTATAAGTAGGAATATATAAAACTTTCTGTAAGTTTTTGATCTGCATGCATGCATTTGGATGTGACACATCCCTTCAGTGGATGTGTCACATCCAAAGTGGCCAACGAGTAGCCTGATCGGTTCTGTGTCTACTCAGCAGTACCCATTCACTCTATGAGCTGGGGAGTTAATAATTCAAAGGAGAGAAGAGGGAAAAGGGGCCTGAGTGACAACAGCAGGAGTGAGAGAAGAAACCAGTAAAAAGTGGAAAGGTGAGGGATGCCCAAAATAAATTACAAATACAGCGTAATTTAATAATAAGTAAAAACGTTAAAATGCACTCGTTGCTATCTTCTATCCTTCCTGTTCCTTTGAAATGACTCCCAACATTCATCTGCTGATGCACCGTCACTGCTGCCAGCATCAAAGTCCAGGATGTTTACCCCCCCCCCCCCAAAAAATGCACACTACTTGAAGGAATGTCAGAAATGAGTGGAATGGAAGGATGAAGGGCAGTGGAATAGAAAGAGGTTCATCTCTGAGAAGAACAACAGGGTAATAAAACTCTCACGTCAGGCCAGGAATCTGCTGATGGCACACATACACGTACACAAGTTCAGAGAGACAAAACCAAATCTGTCAAGCACAGAAGGCCATCACTTCTCCTTTTCATCCCTGGTTTTGTGCAGAGGTGTCCCCCTTTCACCTCTTCGCTGCCCCGCCAACACTTGTCAGGCAAAGAGAGTCATTAATGTTTAGCTGGGCAGTGATGACAGCACTGACAGCTCTCATCTGTCTAAGGGGACAGGATGAGAGACAGGGACGTCCCATCAAAGGATGCTACTTAAAGAGTGGGAAGGCAAAATGACGGGGGGTTAGGGAGGGTAGGGCTGAGAGGCTGGATGAACAGGAGAGCGCTCGGTCGTGGCTAAAATGAATACATTGTCATCTCTGTCTTCCCCTCTGTTTCCTTCTCTCTGCCCATCGTTCCCCCCACCTTCCCATGCTTGTCAGCAGTTTGATTCAGGACCTGCAGGTTGGTTACTCATTGAGCTGAGGAGGAACCAGTAGAGGTGTATGGATGGCTGTCTATGGGCAGCCACCACTGTTTGGGGAAGGGGGGGGGTGTTTTACTGACAGATCTGCCTGCATCGTTCATTCCCTCCTGTAAAGACACAAGATACAAAGCGCAGGAAGTGGAGGAAGCTTTGAATACAAAGGTTACACTACAGGGGCAGTTAATAATTGGGAAGTGTTGGATTATTAATCTGAGAAACTCTGAGATGCTGGGGCTTTGTTTCATTTGTTGTTCTGGTTGTGACATTTCAACCATCGCTAGAGCCCAGCCCAGAGATCAGAACCCCCCAAACTGCACCAACGCTACTTTTGAAGCTGTGTTTGGGTCATTTCAATTCAAAAAGATACCCGATTTTCCACTTCCTCAGTTGTGTTTTATCAGTTTGCGTGTTTGTGTTGACCTAACCCATGTTTCCCTCCATCCTTCCAGATACGTCACAAGTTAATTGAGAAGGTGCTTTCATTGCCGTGACAAGTTAAGTAGAGGGAGCCGAAGCATTGTCTTTCAAATCAGCTGTCAGTGTGTTTCTGCTGTCAGCAGTTTCACTCACTACCTGCCTGGTTAATCATCAAGCAACTCCAAGCTGCTGGAGATGGATGCCCACCTTCACGCCGAACCCCCTTTCTCCTCCTCCTCCCTCCCCTCATCATTGCCACAACAGGACAACGTCTGATTGACAGATTAGCAAGTGCTGGCGCTTTTTCAAAGAAAGACGGAGGAAAAACAAGGTGGGGTGGAAGGACTGGGATTGAAGGGGACTCGCGGAGGAAGGATGAGGTCGAGGAGGTGTGTTTTTGTGTGGGTAGGTAAGATGGAGGTTAACAGGGCCTCTAAATTGTTCATGTGTTCGGGATAATTGCTGTTTGAAATTTTTGCATGCATTTCTTTTGATGGAAGGCGGAGAAGTGCCTGTTTTGTTTCATCTGGACCCAGAAGCTTTGGCAGAGAGTCCAACAGGAGCTCTTGTGAAAGTAAGATTGCCTCCCCTATTGGACATTAATGCAGCTACAACCTCCTTCCGGATAAGGTTATCCCCACTCTGGTCCTCTCCCTTCGTCTTATTCCCTCATGCACGCCCATCGAGGTTTGATTTCAAATGGAAAAATTAATGGGAGAATAATAGCCGTGGGCCTCGCTCTCTTCCAAGCACATCTTAGTTGTTCCACAGGGGGTAGAGAAGGGTGAGCAAGATTTAAGATCAAATCGCCTCACTTGGTGTGATATTCTACTGTGTGTGACACACACACACACACACACACACACACACACACACACACACACACTGGGATTTTATCATACCTTCTTCTACACCTTAAAGGGCCCAACTTTCAAATATTAGCACAGTGGCTGCCTGGATTTCAAATAAATAAATAAATGAAGAGGCAATGATTAGCAGCTCTCCTGAGAGTCATCAGCGTTTCATATTCATTTTCCAGCAGAAGATTTTCTGCAGGAACAGTGCTTTTTGGGAACTTTCAAACCTCCAAGAGGGGAATCATGGTCAGTGGAGTTCATTTCCAGCAAGATGTCAGAACAATCAGAAGGTGCTCTGAATATGTGTTACAGTCAGAAAAACAAACACGGTGTTATGAAAATCCTCTGATTTGTATGTGGCAGCTCCGAGTTCATGTTTAAAGAGCTAAAAGGTTAAAACACACCTGCTACACAACGTGTGCAAGTTCAGCTGATGCAGGATTAAGTTGGTTGCAGGCATTTTAGAATCAAAGTTAAGACTTGATGCTCTCAGGCAAACACAAGTGTGTGCATGTGTGTGAGTGTGTGCGTGTGTGAGTGTGTGCATGGCAAGGGCAGGTTGTTAAGAGTTTAAAAGCGGAAGACGAGTTGGTGTAAAACCAGTATTGATGTCGGGGAAACCCACTGGCACTTTTTGCACAAACATTTGCGAGGACCGACCTGCCGCGGTGCTGCAGTAACCCGGGAAGCAGGATTCCCACTCTTCCTGTTTCTCCTGACTTTGAGGAATTTTTGGGTGAGCGAACTCCCAGTGCTTTCCTCACACACACCTCATCACAGATACCTGTCTCAGCAAAGACTTGAGAGAGGGAGATGTAAGCTTTTTAGGAGTTTCTGAGTCTTGCACTGTTAAATGTTTTTTTAAGATCGTACATGCAAACTTATTATGACAGCAGCCACTCATGCAAACAAGTTAATGCCTTTGATTGATGGGACTTCCTTAAAACCAAACTTGTTTAGTGTAATTTTCAGATATTGGTTTTTATCTTCACTACAAAGGAATTGCATCTAGAAAACAAAAAATCAGATTAATTGCATCCAGGATCTGAGCCCACGTGATCAGGTTTTAATCAAAGGTGGACAAGAAGGTTCAAGATGTAGCTCCAAACAATGGAGCACCCGTGTGCCTCTCACTGAGCCCTTTGGCTTCATGTAGCATTAATTGCAGCCTCCACGGAGCCTGCAGACTTCACACACAGCATCCACACTTTCATCAAAGAAACCACACACAGTACTTTATGAAATTTTTATTCAATGTGTTCACTTCTCTTCCTTTCCTCCCCCTATTCCTTCTTACCTTTAACATTCCCCGCCTTTCTCACTCCCTTTTAAGATGTGCCACCAAACAGACAAGAAAGACTTCTTTCTGCCATGTTTTTAGACTCCACTTCCTTCCTGCCCAGAAGCACTTGGGTATCTCGTTAGTTCTCTCTCTCTCTCTCAGCTAACATCACTTCTGCATCTGCCAGGAGCAAAAACCCGATTAGGGTGAAAGGGATGAAAATATAAGAAACGAGGAGGTGGGGGAGCTTACATGAAGTTTAGTCTCTTTGTAGATAACAGTGATATAATTTGACGATTAGATTTAGAAGCTGTAAGGATTTAATCTCCCATGTGAACGATGTCGACTGAAGAGGACTCAGAAGTTTTGTGGAAAGCTCTTCTTTATTCTACATCAAATTTACAATTCTTGTCTTTATTCTGAAAACAACCAAATATGGAGTTTTTCACACAGCTCATCATTTCCTTATGTCATCATACACAACATGGTTATCCACTCCTCCTCCCACCACACACACACACACACACACACACAGGTATAAGTTGCAGCACCTGATCTCCGGGGCCAGGGTTTAAATAATTAAAGAGCTTTAATTCATCAGGATTTAACACCTCCTGGCAGTAGAGCTGACAAAAGAGAATGACACACACACACACACACACCCCAAGAAAGAAGAAAATGTTACTATACACCAGAAACACACATGATGACACATTTTAAAACTAGACTGAAAGCATCCATAGGCCTAACCAAGGAGCGGCTGTGAAGGTGAAACGGTTCAGCACTAGAGCTGCTAAACTGCATGTTTAGACAGTTTAGCTGTTTAATCAAAAAAGCATGAAGGTATTAACATGAGCCTGACCATAAATATTAAAGACAACTGGTTTAATTTACATTTACAAATTAAAACAAAACACTCAGAAAACAAGACTAGTTATAGTTATTTAACTTCAAATGATAGTTTGGTTCTAATTCAAACCAGAAATATAAATAAAAAAATACACATGAACTTTATCATGTTTACTCATTATAGACTATCCCAAACATTACAGCTAGTTCATTTCAATGTTCGTGACACATTTGTCCAGTGATTTCACCTTAACTGCAGTTTCAGCTGTATTTCAGATAGATTAGCCTTACACCATTACTTTAAATACACATTTTTATTTGCTGCATATGAACAAAATCATGTATTTGTGGGGAAAACGCTGTTAATTTAGATGTAATGACTTGTATAAACTCAGTGGCTTGGGAGTGTCACCGGACACCATGGATAGAGTAGAACTCTACTGCCCCCTGTGGTAATGAACGTGCAACTACACTAGAACTAAACGTAAGAGCATCAGGCTCATCAAATGAGACCTCAGATGCCTTGCATGAACAAGTAGCCCTGTGAAGTTCTGGAAGTTAGAAACACGATCTACTAGAAGGCACAAAGACACAAAGGAGAAACTTTACAATGAAGCAAACAGCTGTCTCTGACTCTGCTCAACCCTCGTTATTATTTATTCTTCCCAGATCTCTGAAAAAAAAAACATTCATCACTCTCACACACACGTTGACAGGAAACGACAACAAGAAAAAGGAACACATTGCCTTAAGAGAGTTCTCATGCACAGCCAATCAGAAGCAGGATGTCGTCTCACTGATAGGACAACCTATTGATCAAGTTCGTCTTTGCTGCACTAGTTAGCCACCTAGTGGTCAAACCACCTCATTACATCAAGTATTGACAACATTTTTAATCACAACTTTGGAAGTTTTTTGGTTAAATGACATTTGCTCATTATTAAACAAATTACTTAAAACATAATTAAGGAGATGCTGACTACAAATCAAGTGGACAGGCTCAGTGGAGGAGAAGAAAGGATAAACACTGACACTCCTAGAGCAAACAGAACAATGTTTTTTTAACATATTGACAGATTTTTTTATTAAACCTACAGATTTATAGATACAACATAACATCCCCGTGAAAATAATTACCCAAAGCAGCTCAGTTACACCAGATGCATGATGACAGTGTATAGTTGCATCTTTTCAAGACAATTTCCTCCCGTTTTCTCTAAATTTCTGGTTCTGCCAGATTGTTCTTCGCTCTTCAGTTGTCCAAAAGGGAGCGCTGTAAAGCCTCCTGAATCATTGTGTTTTCGTCTGTGGAGTAGTCCTTAAGATGAACGAGCGCCAGGGAAGAAAGGAAAAAATAATTAATAAGGGTTTATTTGGCAAGGTTAACATTAAATTATTAATAGTGTTTAACTTACAACAAATGTATCATAGGAGAATGTGTGTCTGATCTTAAGGTGTTGGAAAAAGTCGGTGCTTCTGTAATTAGGATCCCCCCAAGGCATCGAGGCGCAGATAGGGCACACCTGCACCAAAGAACTGACTTAAGCAGACAGTTTGTAGGATGAGGGCGATCACAGAACCATGTGGATCCCTTACCACTTGGCGTGGATCTCGAGCATGCTGGGAAGTGCAATGTTCAACCAGGCCATCCTGATCCAGGTTCTGGCAGTTGCAGTAGGGGCAGGAGAAGGTGTACCTGTTTGGCACCGAACTATGGGAAGGAAACAGAAACACTATGTTGATATTTATTCATCACCTCACTGCAGTTAGAGGGCACACACGCCACTGGCAGACAGGTGAATCTGGGCAGCGGCTGCAGTGATGGGCACACTAAACTAATCTGTTCAAGAGAAAGCCAAGATGGAAGGTGAAGACTTTGATTTACTGGTCCAGAAGACATGAGCTTTGGGTTATGACTAACAGCCAAAATGAGATACTTCTGCAGGGTGGGAAGACTCAGCCTTAAAGATGGGGTTGGGAACCCAAAGGCCAGGATGAGCTAGAGGGATTAGATCTCTATGCTGCACTGGGAATACCCTCACAGGAGCTAGCAGAGATAGTCCACAGTCATGACTAGGGTTGCAGCTGTTAACCGGCTTTACTATTAAACGCGGAGTGAAACACTTCTCCAACATCATCACCAAAATAAAACAAATGGTGCGACCCGTATGGACAAAAAGTCTAACTGGAATGGATGCACCCGGATCACGGCAGAAGCTCCGTTTCCACCTAGGAAGTGCATGAGAATTCCTGTGTGGGAATATATGCGATTCTGAAAGACGTTAAAAAAAGGAATTCGGGACAATGGCTTGCCCATATGAAGAAAAAAAATGTGGCATCTCCAACTTGTTTCATCACCTCTGGGATCATCAAGCAGACACATAAGCTCCAACTGAGTCAGATTACATTAGCAACTGAAGTGATTTAATAATAATAATAGAACAATCAGTGAACAAGGGTTCATGGATTACTGTTGTACTACGTTTCCCTTGTATTGTCTATATAGGAGTTAAGTACGGCAAGTCATTTTAACATTTATTCAACAGCACCTCTTTGTAATTCCTACACAGCAATAAGATAATGTATCCTTGTCTAAATAGTATTCTTACTAATGAAAATACAGATGTCAACAAGGAGAAATTATATTTAAAGACATCCAACTATTACACTAGAAGGAAGTTAGCGTCTCATTTTATTAGGTGCTTCCGTCCTTAAAGGGATATTCCACCCTAAGTGAAATTCAGTCTGTGGCCATATTCCTCAGTCGGCTAAGTGGGAAAAGACGTTTTGTAAAGAGGTCAGCCAGTCTTCTAATGTAGCAGTATTCTGTTTGCCTTAGCTTAGTTTAAACAATATAAGTGAATGGTAACAGCTAGCATTATAATAATTCATAAACATTTCTCAATAATGATCCTAATTTTTCTTGGTGACCTCAATAATCATATCATAGAAACAGAAAGGTGAAATGTTGTAAATGGTGTACAGTAAACACGGAGGAGACAGTGCTAGTTGTTACCATTCACTTACATTGTTTATGCTAAGCTAAAGCTAACAGGTTACTGCCAGATTAGGAAAATGACTGTTACAGAATGTTTTACAGACTTCTCCAACTCTGGGGAATGTGGCAACAAGCTACGTTTAACTCCGGGGTGGAATATCCCTTAAGTGATGACTTTAATAAATGTGATGCGTTAACCATAACTCTGACCAGTTGCCATCAAGGATTATTTCTCAGACTATAATGGTAACCCTACCCACAACCTGCAGAAACCGTTAGACAGGGGAAGAGAGACACGGAACATTTTATGAAAACATGAGTGAGGATCTGTGACTCGCATAAGAAAAGTACATACAGATCATAAGGTTACACAGCAAAAACAAATAGCTGCCATTACAATAATTGTGGTTTATCATAATATACCATATGAACTTGATTTATGACTATTTTATTACACTTTTAATCTCTTGTGAATACAAATCAGTAAACGTCAGTATGACTTCATTTCAGTTCTGGCAGGAACTAAATCTCTGGGACTCAACTTTACAAGATCCATTTTTTTTATCATTGAAACCAAGTAAATGAGCTTTCAGTTGCAAAATCTCAGCATAGATAAAACACATCTATCACCTCTCTTGGACCGATGGAAGAAGTGTGTGCGTGTTTTTATTTTAGGAAACAAAATGTGATTGGTTTTCCCCCTCCCCTCCCTAATGAGAGTCAGTGGTAATAATAGAGAAAGCAGAAATCCACTTGCGTCTGACTTCACGACACTAAGCCACGTGCACCAACATGTTTGCATGCAAAACCGAAGATCTTTATCAGGAGAGAAAAGGTTTGATTAGATTTAGTTTTTATTTGAAACCAAGATATTTCCTGTTTAGTCTGATCGAATCGACTTTATTCTGCCTACATCCATCCAACTCTCCAACATTTGTCATTATCGTGAAAAGATGTTATGGCATTTAAACTTAGCCTGGCAAGCCAGACTAAATAAATGTATTATTTAGTCTGGCCACGCTCCATTGACGGCTCTCGGTTGTGGGGCGGGTTCTACCGTTGTCTTTCAAATGATCTCCGCATTCCACTGGACAATGAATGTGACATAAGCCTGATTTATGCTTCTCCGTCTGCGTCAGTGCGGAGACACGCAACGCCATTATCCGTCCTTGCGTAGGGCACGCAAGTACGTACGGAGTCGAGCCCACTTTTTTAAACATCCGTCGAACGAGACGGATTACGCAAGCTTGTGATTGGTCAGGATGCCGCTGTTGTTTACAGCGCCGCCATTGCAACGAGAGCCGAGGATAACTAGCGGCAGACACGGAGAAGCTTGAAGAATATCTCACGAAAAAACTCAAAAAATATGAACGTTTAATTCTCCCGTGACTGGAGGAGAGAAAAGATGCGCAGCAAGCGTTTTATTTGTGGACGGAAATGACAGGAAACGTGGGTTTAGAGGTGGGGAGTGCATGAAGCGGTGGGAGAATGAGAGACAAATATGTCCGTGTTAAAAGTCTCTTATAAACACAAAAAACACTATATAAACACACTATCTTGGACCGATACATGACAGGACACCACAGAACAGCGCTACACCCTCTGTTGTCCTGCCGGGGAATTGCTTTGCAACACTCTCCAGGAGACGGAGAAGTAAAAGAGCAAAACGCTTCCGTCAATCCGTGCGTGTCTGTCCCTTGCGGAGCTGACGGAGAAGCATAAACCAGGCTATACTCTTGTTTCCCTCTGTTGCATCATCCCACCCACCAGGCATATATAGAGTACCCTGATTGGCCCACAAAGCGGATAAAGCTCTGTGATTTGTTCACTAAGCAGATAGAGCACTATGATTGGCCCACCATTATGGACCAATCACAGCTCTTTATGTGTTTGAAACCCCTCTAGAGAGCTGTGATTGGCTAGCCAGAGTCCTGGTAGGAGCTGCTGAGGTTCCAATGGAGCGTGCCTAGACCATTCTTTGCAAAGAAAGAATTTGGTCTAGTTCACTAGGCTAATTTAAACTACCAGGTGATGAAGAAACGCATTTATTTGGTTCGTCAGGTCCAGCAAACCGTAAACATGTTAGTTTGATCCAAAGCGTCACTCTGTTACTGGATCTTTCTGCTTAAACTTACTTTCACTTGTGGTTTTACCTGCAGCACCACGCCATTTTGTTTCGGCAGGTAAGGCCCAACTTCTGATGATTTTTTAAAATTTATTTGGATTTCATAATCGTGGAAGACCTAAACGGTTTCGGCGGTTGTGAGCCGACTCTTTTAACAAATGGTGAAAAAGTGATGAACATGTCTCCAGGAGAAAATAACGATTGCTCCTTTAATTTGTATCAAACCTTGATTAAATGAAACAAAACCAGCTTCAGTCTGTGCCTTCAGAGAATACGTTTGTTTATCTGGCATCAAACTTGTGACCTGAACCAACACTGACCTGCTGCCACGCCACAACTTACTTTCCCACTTGGTGATGAGGCTCAGCCACAATATCTCCTGCTTACAGAACAGCGAAACACAACAAAAGCACAATGGTGTGCTCTTCAGCAGGCGGTGTGTGAGATAACTAATGTCTGGAGTTTTGCCCGAATTGGGTCACAAATGTGTGTGTTGCATCTCACCTGATAACTGGAGGCTGGCTCTGGGAAGTGGTCCTCACCCCCTCCTCGATGTACTCCTGGTACTTTGAACAATTAGCTGTGTGACTTCTCATCTGGGACAGGCCAACCTTATTACAAAAAAAGGGGACAAGTCTTTTGTCTTGTCTGAATACGAAGACTTAATTCAGTAAATTTAGTCTTAACATGTGTGACTAAACAGATTTCCAACCCCAGTTCCCGTGAATCCATGAAAATGTGTCCTGTTGTAGCTTTTGGACATTAATAATTAAACATACCTGAACTCCACATCCCTTACAGGCTGCCACAGAAGACTGGATCAGTGCCTCCAGTTCGGTGGCTTTAGTGCACAGGCCCAGAGTGGCCCTGCATACAGCACAAACTGGTTTCTGAGGACGCAAACATTCCTGCAAACAACTCTGGCAAAACCTAACAAAACAGAATGGAACCAATCAGAAAACAGCAAACACGTCACAGGAGCATAACCCTACGTGTGAGTGGCTTGTTAAATCTGACACGTTTTTTAATGACTCCTATTATTTGATAGATGAAGCAGAAAGTGAATCTTTATATTTCATGTTCAAGTGTTTAGCTTCTGGTAAACCCAAAGGAAAGTCCCCCACCTCAAGATGACGATGGGATTTGTAGTTTTTCCGGTGGTTGAATGAGATACAGCAACTACGAGCCAAACTACAACTCCCAAGCGAGGCCTCCTGTATGATGTAAACAAAACTGAAACTGACTTAGCTACCTTGAGTGTTTTTATTACTCATCCGTTCGAGCGAAATACGAGTATCAGTTCAGGCGGACACACGCATGGTCGATGTTTTATGGCTTTGGTGCTACGATGTCCCAAACCAGAAGCCTTTCTTCTTGTTTTTAACTCGTATCAGTGCATCGCTGGTGGGATAGGGGGGAGGGTGGTCGGAAATAAACGCACAAATACTCACGTATGGCCGCATTGTGTTCTTACAGGACTCTCGAAGATCTCCAGACAAACTGGACACATGAACTCTGACACGTCGCTGCTGCCGTCAGAGACACTTTTCTTGTGCTGTGCAGCGCTGAAACCTCCGAGCATCGCCATTTCTTTTCTTCTCCGCGTCCGTCCCCCAACAGCACCGTTCCTGTTGTTATGACGTGACGTCACCGGCGTCTGCTTCCTTTTCTAAGCGCGACGGCGGAATTATTTTTAAAGTTGGATTTTTTGAAAGCAAAATACAATAACCCCATTTTAATTATTGGTGGTGACTTTAATGATGTTTCAGATGATATTGTGTACCGGCTTCCTCCAAGGTTTACATCAATAAGTTTCAAACCTACTGAATTTTTGAGGACAAATTACCATCTTACAGATGTGTGGAGATATATGAACCCTGACGCTACACAATATACATGGTCCAATTCTAGCAGGAGTTCCCAGTCACGAATAGATTTATGGTTAATGTCTACACATGGATTACAATATATCACAGATGTTTCTCACTCTCGTGCCCCATCAGATCATAAATTAATAAGTCTTAGATTAAAAGGAGTTAAAGACCAAGTATTAGAGGCTATTGGAAATTTAACCATGACCTTTTGGATGATATAAAATTTAAGAAAAGTGTTTCATTTTTGGTAGAGAAAATTTTTAAAGAAAGGGAGATGGATCCATTTCAAAAGTGGGAGTTTTTCAAATATAAGGTTTGGGAAACAGCAATAAAACGTAAAGAAATAAAGAAACAGAACACAAATAAAATGCAAAATTTAATTGTTAAATTAGAGCCCTTAATATCTAAGCAAGACTTGTCTGAAGGTGAATTAAAAATTCTGTCCAATCTAAAAGATGAACTTGATAAAATGTATGTCGATTTAGCTAGAGGTGCGTTCATAAGGTCTAGAGCTAAATGGTTAGAGAAAGGAGAGAAAAACTCCAGTAACTTTTTTTTTGCTCTAGAAAAAAGAAACAGGAAAAGAAACAACATTGTGGCTCTTAATATTAATGGTATAATAAACTCAGACCCTGTTATGATCGCCAGTTATACTACCTCCTTTTACAGTGATTTGTATTCTACAAAATTTAATCAGACCAATTGTGACAGATTCTTAAATCGTATATGTTTACACCTCTGATATCGGAGGCCTTTAAAGACTCTTGTGACGCTGAGCTTTTATTTTCAGAAATTACAGATGCTTTGCGTTCAATGAAGTTAGGAAAGTCACCTAGCGACGGACTCTCAGTAGAATTCTATCTTTGTTTTTGGGAATGAATTGGTAATCACCTTTTTCTGATGTTCAAAGAATGTATAAGTAGGCAAGAAATGACAACAACTATGAAACAAGGTCTTATAACTCTGCTCCCTAAGACAGACAAAGATCCTCTAAAAATAGAAAATTGGAGACCTATCTCGCTTTTAAATATTGATTCCAAAATTTGATCTTTGTTGAATGCGAAAAGACTAAAAAAGGATTTAGGTGAGATAATAACTGAAAGCCAGAACGAATTTCTTCCCAAACATCACATTAGCTCTAATATAAGACTAGTGTTGGATCTAATCGATTATTCAAATTTTATAAACTCCAGTGCTTTGATGATTTTCCTTGACTTTTATAAGGCATTTGATTCGATTGAACACACCTTCATTTTCCAAGCACTTCAAATTTTAGGTTTCGGAGAGTCGTTTATCAGTGTTATTGAAATGTTTTATAAAGAAGCAGCTCAATCATCTTGTATCCGCAGATGTCTGGGAGGTTTCCGATATTAAGAGGTGTACGACAGGGCTGCCCAATGTCTTGCTTTTTGTTTATGATCGCCGCTGAACTTTTGTTTTTAAACATTTCAATCCAAATATTCAAGGTTTAGAAATTTTTAATAAAGAAGTTAAGATGTCCCAATTCTTAGAGATAAATCACAGATACCAAATGCTTTATAATGCAGGAATTTTCAGAAGCTTCAGGACTGAAGCTAAATGTTATAAAAGTGAAATTTTATGTTTATATGAAACCAATGACCAATATATGTTCAATATTCCCATCAAACAAACTGGTAGATATTTAGGAATTCACATAATAAAAGACAAAATGATGAGGCAAACATTAAATCTACAATCAAGGATTAAAAAAACTCATTTGATTCTTAATATGTGGCTGCAAAGGGACCTCTCTATTTTTGGCAGGGTGTTGTTAACAAAAGCGGAAGGCATATCAAGGTTAGTATATTCCGCTCTCTCCCTTCATGTTAATGATGCAACTTGTAAAGAAATTAACAGTTTATTTGTAAACTTTGTCTGGAAGAACAGATATCATCATCTAAAAAAAGGCATACTCTATCTGGAAAGAGCAAGGGGGGGCTTAGAACTCTTAAATTTTTTCCACTTAAACAACACCTTTAAAGTCAAATGGATAAAAAAGTGTCGAGAAATGCCAGAATCTTTATGGAATTTTATTCCACACAACATATTTAAAATGGTAGGGGGTTTAAATTTTCTGTTACGTTGCAACTTTATTATTTCTAAATTACCAGTGAAACTTTCAATGTTTCACCAGCAGGCTTTACTTCCGTGAAAATTATGACATACGCATAATTTCTCCCCACACAAAGAAATATTATGGAATAATGGTAATATTACTATAAACAACAAAAGCTTACACAAAATTAATTGGGTTGAGAAAGGCAACGGAAGCCTTTATAGCTGTGAAAACTTTTTGAAAACTAAGGATTTTCCAGTGAAATACAGAGAATTTGCCATGGTCATGAGAGCCATTTCTTCAGGCATAGTTGAGTTAATGAGAGCAAACTCTGTTTATAGAGATTTAGTTTGCAGATAACTTCTCTAAAAGTTGGGGGTATTGATTTATTAGACAAGAAATGTTCAAATCAACACATAAGGAAGGTTTTATGTTGTTCTAATACGGTGGCACCCAAAGGAAAGTTTTTCTGGAACACACAGTTTGTTATAAATTGGAAAAAAGCATGGATGGTTCACTTTCAATACTGTATTTCAAACAAGATAAGGGAACTTAATTTCAAAATTTTACACAATATTTATCTATGTAATAAAAAATTATCATTGTTCAAAGATCTGGATGCCAACTGTGGACCCACCACCCACAGGAGGAACATGAAGGGTCCGGTGCAGTGTGGATCGGGTGGCAGACCGAGGCAGGAGCCTTGGCGGTCCGATCCCCGGACAAGAAAACTAGTTTTTGGGACATGGAACGTCACCTCGCTGGCGGGGAAGGAGCAGGAGCTTGTGGCAGAGGTTGAACGGTACCGGCTAGATATATTCGCACTCACCTCGACACATAGCATTGGATCTGGAACCCAAGTCCTTGAGAGGGGGTCTGCTGGGAACGCCTGGCAGAAGAACCTGTTAAGACAGTCTTCAACTCCTAGCCTGGCAAGCCAGACTAAATAAAAGTATTATTTAGTCTGGCCACGCTCCATTGACGGGTCTCGGTTGTGGGGCGGGTTCTACGTTGTCTTTCAAATGATCTCCGCATTCCACTGGACAATGAATGTGACATACTCTTGTTTCACTCTGTTGCATCATCCCACCCACCAGGCATATAGAGTGCTCTGATTGGCCCACAAAGCGGATAAAGCTCTGTGATTTGTTCACCAAGCAGATAGAGCACCATGATTGGCCCACCATTATGGACCAGTCACAGCTCTTTATGTGTTTGAAACCCCTCTAGAGAGTTGTGATTGGCTAGCCAGAGTCCTGGTAGGAGCTGTGGCGGTTCCATTGGAGCAGCCTAGACCAAACTTTGCAAAGCAAGAATTTGGTCTAGTTCACTAGGCTATTCAACTCCCACTTCTGACAGAGCTTTGACTGCGTCCCGAGAGCAGTGGGGGACATTGACTCCGAGTGGGCCTTGTTCCACTCTGCGATTGTTGAGGCGGCTGTTGCTAGCTGTGGTTGCAAGGTGGCCAGTGCCAGTTGTGGTGGCAACCCCCGTACCCGCTGGTGGACACCAGAGGTTCAGGGAGCTGTCAGGCTGAAGAAGGAGGCCTACAAGGCGTTGCTGGTCTGTGGGTCTCCGGAGGCAGCAGACAGGTACCGGATAGCCAAGCGGGGTGCAGCAGTGGCAGTTGCCGAGGCAAAATCTCTGGCGTGAGAGGAGTTTGGTGAGGCCATGGAGAAAGACTGTCGATCAGCTCCAAAGAGATTCTGGCAAACTGTCCGGCGCCTCAGGAGAGGAAGGCAGCAACTCGCTCACAATGTTTACAGTGGGGATGGGGAGCTGTTGATGTCAACTGAGGCTATAGTCGGACGGTGGAAGGAATACTTTGAGGAGCTCCTCAATCCCACCTATGCGCATTCCGAGGAGGAACCAGAGCCGGGAGACCTGGGGATGGACTGTCCAATCTCGGGGGTAGAAGTTGCTGAGGTAGTCAAACAAATGCACAGCGGCGGAGCCCCGGGGGTGGATGAGGTTCGTCCTGGGTATCTCAAGGCTATGGATGTTGTAGGGCTGTCATGATTGACACGTCTCTGCAACATTGCGTGGTCAACGGGGCAGTTCCTGTGGAGTGGCAGACCGGGGTGGTGGTCCCCAACTTTGAGAAGGGTGATCTGAGGGTGTGTTCCAACTATAGGGGGATCACACTCCTCAGCCTCCCTGGAAAGTCTACTCCAAGGTACTGGAGAGGAGGGTCCGATGAATAGTTGAATCTCAGAATGAGGAGGAGCAATGCGGTTTTCGTTCTGGCCGTGGAACTGTGGACCAGCTCTATACCCTTGCAAAGGTGATGGAGGGCGCATGAGAGTTTGCCCACATGTGTTTTGTGGATTTGAAGAAGGCTTATGACCGTGTCCCCAGGGGCACCCTGTGGGGGAGGCTCCAGGAGTATGGGGTGGGTGGCTTTCTGTTAAGGGCCATTCAGTCCCTTTACCAGAGGAGCATGAGTTTGGTCCGCATAGCCGGTAGTAAGTCAGACCTGTTCCCGGTGAGGGTTGGACTCCGCCAGGGCTGCCCTTTGTCACCGGTTCTGTTCATTACCTTTATGGACAGAATTTCTAGGTGCAGCCGTGGTGTGGAGTGTGTCGAGTTTGGTGGCAGGAGAATCTCGTCTCTGCTTTTTGCGGATGATGTGGTCCTCCTAGCTTCATCCAGCTCTGACCTTCAGCTCTTGCTGGGTAGGTTCACGGCCGAGTGTGAAGCGGCTGGGATGAGGATCAGTGCCTCCAAATCTGCGACCATGGTTCTCAACCGGAAATGGGTGGCTTGCCAACTCCGGGTCGGGGGAGAGGTCCTACCTCAAGTGGAGGAGTTTAAGTATCTCAAGGTCTTGTTCACGAGTGAGGGTAGGAGGGATCGGGAGATCGACAGGCGGATTGGTTCAGCATCTGCAGTGATACGGACGCTGAGCCGATCTGTCGTGGTGAAGAGGGAGCTGAGCCAGAAAGCCAGGCTCTGGATTTACCGGTCGATCTACGTCCCAATCCTCACCTATGGTCACGAGCTTTGGATAATGACCGAAAGAACGAGATTGCGGATACAAGCGGCCGAAATGAGTTTCCTCCGTAGGGTGGCCGGGCTCAGCCTTAGAGATAAGGTGAGGAGCTCTGACATTCAGGAGGGACTCGGAGTAGAACCGCTGCTCCTCCGGATCGAAAGGAGCCATTTGAGGTGGTTTGGGCATCTGGTCAGGATGCCTCCTGGACGCCTCCCTGGGGAGGTGTTTCGGGCATGTCCTGCCGGCAGAAGGCCCCCGGGTCGACCCAGGACACGTTGGAGAGGTTACATCTCCAATCTGGTCTGGGAATGCCTTGGGGTCCTGCCAGAGGAGCTGGTGGAGGTGGCTGGGGAGAGGACGGTCTGGAGCTCCCTAGTTGGGATGCTGCCCCTGCGACCCGGATCCAGATAAGCGGAGGAAGACGACGACAACAACGACGACAAAGATCTGGATGAAAAATATACCTTTTGTCATACTGGTTCAGAGACTATTATACACTTATTTTATAATCGTCCCCTCTCATCTGGATTTTGGAAAGATATGGAAAATGTATTACGATTAAATCCAAACACACTATCCAAATCAGATCTAAGGATGTTGTCAAGTTTTAATGTAATGATAAAATGTTAAGTTTTATAATTAATCTAATGCGTCTTTTAGGGAAATTTCATATACATAAAGCAGAGGTCGCCAAATCTCTCCCTAACTTTTGCGTTTTCTTAAATGACTTCCACTCATATGTAAACACCATAAAGTTAATTGTAAATAAGAAGGCAGAACTCAGTTTAATGAATCTTCAATGTTTATTTCTGATTGACCCTGTATAACAAAATAATAATAAATAAATAAAAAAAACGTGCCTTTTGGAAGGTTGTATTGTCATCTGTTATGTGCCTCTTGTCAGTTAATGAGCTGATGTCTGTTCGTGTGTATATTTGATGTGTGTTTGTTAGTTTGATTCTGTATTTCAGAATCAGAATCAGAATCAGAAGTTTTTATTGCCATATGTGTGCCAAGTCACAACATTAGGAAATTGCTGCGGTATTTTGGTGCAGAAGGTAAGATAGAAAAAAAAATAAAATAAAAAAAAAATAAAAATAAAAAATTAAGAGATAAGCAAATATAAGAACTAATAAAACAGTCATGATAAAATTATTAATGTAAAAAGTGGCAAGAATTAGAGAAGCAGCTATCTACTCCGTGTAGGTATTAATCTGAGTGTTGTGACAAAACAAATCTTATGACAAAATCTTTGTGACAAAAACAAATAAAGCTTGTTAAAAAAAAATAAAAAGCGCGAGGGCGGACCATAGATATCATATATAATATATCTATGGGGCGGACTGCCAGAGACAGATGTTAGCTTTCAAAATAAATACACCAACAATAATCATTACTGGACCTAATTAATGGGGTTAACATCAGGAAGACCGTCCATTTTTCTTTTTCTAAAAACACTATTAAAGTCTTAATTACAGGATGGTTATAGAGTCAAAGTGGTAAATCCACAGTTTTTAAATGTCTTTTTATGAACGAAAGTGTAAATGTTGCCTTCTGGTGGCGCAGTTGGGCTCTACAAATAAATTATGTAAATTATTTCAAAATAAAACTGTTTTGGGGTTAGAAACAGGTAAACTCGTATAAATCACAGTGATTTTTCTCTATTCGTTTAGCTTAAAACACAAATAAAATCTTACTTAACTGAGAAGATGAATATAGTCAGAGTGCTGAATCATGTCAGTTTTTAATTGTCTTAGCATGAACGAAAGTGTAAATGTCGCTCACCAGTGGCCAAAAGATGCAACTGCAGCTGGACTCTACAAACACTTCCTGTAAATGATTTCAAAATAAAACTGTTTTTGCATAGAAACATGTAAACTCGTACTAACCACAGTGGCTTTTTTTCTCTATTTGTTTATCTAAAAACACAAATAAAATTGTACTAACTAAGAAGATCGTTAAATGAAGTCAAAGTGGTAAATCCAGTCAGTTTTAATTGCCTTAGCACAAACGAAGGGTGTAAATGTCTCTCGCCGGTGGCGCATATATGTAACTGCAGTTGGGCTCTGCGAACACTTCTTGTAAATTATTTCAAAATAAAACTTTTGGGGTTAGAAACAGGTAAACTCGTTCTAGTCACAGTGTTTTTCTCTATTCATTTAACTAAAAACACAAATAAAATATTAACTAAGTGGAAGGTATTTTGGAGTCAAAGTGCTAAGTCCAGTCAGTTTTTAAATGTTTAACATGAACGACAGGTACATGTCGTCCTCCGGTGGTGAAAAGAAGCAACTGCAGTAGGGCTCTACGAATGCTTCTTGTAAATCATTTTAAAATAAAACGTTTGGGTTTGGAAACAGGTACACTCATTCTGGTCACAGTGTTTTCTCTATTTATTTAACTAAAACACAAATAAAATATTAACTAAGAGGACGGTTATATGGAGTCAAATTGCAAAATTCAGTCAGTTTTTAAATGTCTTAATATGAACGACAGGGTACATTCCTCCGGTGGCAAAAAGATGTAACTGCAGTCTGGCTATACAAACACTTCCTGTAAATTATTTCAAAATAAAACTACTTGGGGTGTTAGAAACAGGTAAACTCGTTATAACTAGTGTTTTTCTCTAATAATTTAGCTAAAACACAATCAAAACCGTATTTGTGTAGGAGTATTAAACACGACAGTATTCAGTCTTTAGTCTACAGCATCGACATTAATATACGGTCTACAGTCTCTACAGTCATTGGTCTTTTCACTAGGGCTAAAGATGACGTAAAGTCGTCAGTATCCTACGCATGCGCATGACGATGAAGCGAATTTTCAAGAGCTGAGGAGGCGTAGCTTAGCATGTGGCTAACTCTTGTCAAAGGTAAGATTAATAAGTTCTAGTATTTAAGACGTCGTGTGGCTTCTACGAGAAATTTAGTTATAGTCTCTCGTATATTAATAATGCTATTGTAGCTGTTTATGTGTTGATAGTTGACTGTAACTGGGTGAAGTATGTCCGGGTAGCAATGGAACGCCCTGTTAGCTAGCCAGCTGCGCTTAAATGGGCGTTCACTGCTTGGCGTAGATTCGCGTTAATGCTGAAGACTAAATCGGTTTGAGGTGGAAAGTCAGTGTGGTAGCTGTTGGTGTGGTTTTTGTTAATGATTAGGGATAGTTAATGGTTGCTTCGCAAGCGATTCTTCGTGAGAAAGTGCTAACGTTGCTTGCTAGCTCGTAACATGTTCCTCGTATGATTAAACTGGAATAACCAGCAATAATTCTTTGGGATGACGGACACTTCCAAATAGTTTTAGTTTGAAGCATCATAACGCATTTAGATTGTCCTGTTTTCACATATCTGATTTGATATTATTAGATAAAAGAGATCAAAGCCAACCACTCTAACTTTCTTTGACAGGTTACCATTTCCAATACCATTTTCCAAACGAAAACAAAGAGCAAATGGGTTAACCTGTTTCTTCGAATCTACGCATTGGTTTCTTTCAGGGTTGTATCCATAATGATGATGACCTAAACCAGGTCAACTGTTCGGTGTATGAATAAAGCAATCAACTTCCCACTCAACACTAAGGTCGATACCTCAGTTTAAATCTGCTATAGCAAATTTGGAAAATAAATTAGTTTAAAATATTCTTTCGAGCTTCTTAATAATGTTCTAGCATAGTATAGCTATAAATACATTGTGGAGAAAAAAGAAAGTAGTTTTCTCGCATTTGTCTACAAACCTCTGCCAATAACATGTTTCAGACTGAAAGCAACCATTGCACCATCCGGTCGTTGGTCTCGCTGAACTGCTGCGCTTTCCTGTGTTTTCCATTCATTACACATCCATGTATTTTGCAACAGAACACCACTAGTATGAGAGGTTCTCTGCTCAGTAATACCAGAGAATGAGAAACAGCCGGTTGCTACAACTTCAACTTTAGGATAAACTCCTAAAAAGAAAAACACCATTTGAAGTCACAACAAAAAATGTTTGGACCTAGACAATGCATCTGGTGTTTAGCACGCTCTTGTTTGCTCTGGCATCACGTTTTCGGTTGCGGCAGAAGCGTCTCAGGGTAGATACCCGAGGAGGCGGGGTGGGTGTTCCATGACTGTGTTTGCATTCAAAACCAATCTTGTTCTGCAGACTTGCTGTAACAGATTAACTGTCTTTTTGTTTTTTTCAGGCCATGCCTATTAATGTATTTCTAGTGGAGTAAATGATCTCAAACGTAAGTGTTGTGCATTCCATTAACATAATTATTTTTTATGCATCATTACAGCTTGGATTTGGCTTAGAAGACTCCAGCAATCCTGAAACCAAAGACTGGATTCCACTCAACTTCAAACTGACTGATAAAGTGATCTACCCAATTTTGTTTTGCATCACACAAACGTATTTGTTTGGAAACCAGTTGAGCTTAGTTTTACTGGAGATGTCCATTCTGAGGCATCCATACAGGCTGCAGCCTAGCCACACTCACTAAAAGCCTCCACAAAGCTGCATATCACTAACAGAGGATGTTCTTCTGACTGGATTCAAGGTCTCTCTTCTTTGCCATCTCTACTGATCATTAGAATTCAGTGAGCATCCGTGTGTGCTGTGAGTTATGGTGGCTTAAAATGATGCTCAAATGTAGCATCCTAGTGCAGGGAGTGGCTAAAGGGGTGAGGCTTGCACAGGGAATTTTGGCAGCTGAATGATCATCTGCGGCAAATAATGGATGCCAAGTTAAAAGAGGACCTGTTTCGGAGGTATGTTACAGCATTGGAAAGGCGCCTGGAGGAGGGGGGAGCCAGTACAGGGGCTGGAACTACACTGGATGGGGACAAAAGTAGAAACAAAGACAGTGAGGCACTGCTTTCCACGGCTACAGCTCTTCTTGGGGCTTACCAGCCAGATCCTGGACAGCGATTTCGCATGGTGCGATTCTATGAGGTGGTGGAGAACTCACTCCGCTACCAGAGAGGAAGCAACCTGAAGAGCCTGGAGAGAGCTTTCAATACACTGGAAACCATCTGCACCAACCTCTTGCTCTTTCCTTGGAAGAAAGAGTTCAGATGTATTAAGGTGAGTGTTACTGAATATTATACCTGCTTATGGCAGAAAATCTCCAGTAAATTAATTTTAAATATTCCAAAATAAACTTGCAAGACAAGAGTTTCAAATTATGCTGTTGACTGTTATTTAAATGTATCAGTTTCAGTAGCAAGGGTTTCAAAAGACAACAGAAATCTGCTAGCACTGATTAATATCAGCTGTTCTCTTTACATCTTTGCTGTATACAGAACAGCAGTGAATAAGTCTGTTCATGTTACGCAACAAACCAATGAAAAGCCCATGTTTTTCAGGCTGTGATTGATGCAAAGCAGTAACTAAGGCAGGAACTTGGCAGCAAGAGCAGGAACGTAAAAATGGAGACAACTCACCAATATTTCACCTTGTTAATACACTTATCAATACAACAGCGAACAAATGTATCTGTCTTCATCACTGTCTTTGGTCCCAACTATCCAGTTGAGCACAACTCTTCACTCAACTGGGTAGCTGCACCTTGAAAGAGTTCTTTATACAAAAACAGCCGCCAGACTGTAACATAACTCCATAGAAGCTTCTGTATTTTGTCTAAAGCCAGTTGGTTTTTGAAGAGCCATTAAAAAACAAGTCTTCTAGTCAACATGCATGCTCTGTACCATTTATGTAACTGTTAGATATGGAGAAGGACATAAAGCTGAGCTCTTTTCATGCATTCTAATTGGTCACTGCTACAGTTTTCTACATGTTTCTTTTATAAGGAAATCTCCTAAAACATGTTTCCGTGTAACTCAGCCTCAATAACATGTAAATAGAACCTTAACTATATTTGGTGTCATGTAGACAGAGACTGTTCTTCTTTCACAGACTCACTAATGATGTCCTTTTGTCTTTTAGACCTTCACTGGACCGTATGTGTACCACTTGCAGTCCGCCATCTTTGATGCTGAACTCCGAACTTTGATGCGCACCATTGGATATTCCTGTGACCACGATTCTAAGTTTACTTTGCAGGATCTCACGGGGGACACAAATTATCTCCGCCAGTTAGCGTTTGAGCTGTTTTTGGCCCAGGCCGAGTGTCGTCTTCTGGGGGAGGTGGTGGCTCTTGCTCGTGGTTCAGCTTCAGAGCTGGAGGCTCTGGAACTCCGCAGAGGTTGCAGAGATGATGCCGCTGGCTGTGCCGAGGCTCTGCGAAGACGTGACAGCCTTGGGGCAGACATGGCTCGGTTGTCTGTGCGACCACTGGATATAGAGAAACCTCATGCGCATCAGCTGAGACGAGGTAGCCGACCATCCAAGTCTGTGGATGTTACAGATGGGGCTGGTCACTGGCACCCAGCTGTTAACAAGCCTGTTCTGAAGGCCTCGTTGAGTCTGAGAAAGGAGCCCCTGTTTGTGGATGCAGAGGAGGATATGAAGGATGAGATCATCAGGCCCAGCACCCCGGCATCTTTTTTCTCTGTCGCTGCTCCACCTTCTTATAGCCCCGTTGCAGACTTTTTCCCAGTTCCTTCACCCACCCCAGCTGACCCCTACGCGTCTTACCACCTGGCCTCTCTGGATGAGATTGATTTATACACCGAGAAGGGCAGTGCAGGGACAGGAGGAAGGCAGACTCCATTGCGACCGCCTTCCAGAGAGCCTCGAGATGGCTGGCTGCTCAAAGGTCATGGTAATGTCAAGTGCCAGAGTTGTGGACTAGGGTGCTCCACAATGACCTCCTGCCATAGGTGTGACATGATTCTTTGCCCTTCCTGTCATGATGTGGACCCATCCCCTTGCTGTGGCCTCCAGGACTACCACCCCAAATCCCCACGACCCCTTGATGGATACCTTCCTGTCAAGGAAAAGCTTTCTGTCTACTCAAACACCCATTCCCACTCCCATCTTCATCCACACCCTCTAACACTAACCCACTCACTCTCTCATCCCCATCCTCAGATGATAGAGAAACCCTTCATGCCCACCAAGTTGTTTTCAAGCAAGACTACTGCCTTGACGACACCAAAGGGAGGCAGCAGCGAGCGATTAAGCATGGGGGGGTCCAGGTGTGGATTTTGCAACAAGCCAGCTGCTTCACACACCTGTGTGAACTGCTCTAAGGTGTCATGTGATTCATGCATGGGCTTGTATGCAAAAGACATCTGCACCCGAAAGAATCCTCAGCACAGCTTTGTGCCCAACCATCAGCTCAACTTCAAACCCGGCACCATGTCTCACTTAGTTTACCGATGAGTCAGGCAGAGTAATCCCCATCGGTTCACTCCTTTACTGTAATCTAGTCTCTAATGACCTGTAGTCTTGCACTATTGCTTTACCGTTCATCAGGCTTATGTGGCACATTTTATGTTCGCTGTCCTTTTTCTCTTCCTCTCATGGAACGCACAAGCCACTGAGAGCCATGCCGTCTGTCCATCTCTCTGCCTTGTACAACTTCAGGCCTTTTATCTGTTTATTTTGCTCTTGGATAGTCACGTGATGTTGTAGAGCTTCCCAGTCTTCTTGGATTTTACACTCCTTAAAAGGGAACCTGGAGAAAATAGTTAAATTTATTATTTTGAAGGAACTCCGTACAAAAAAAAGATATACTTTGCCTAACCTCTCAGCTAAGAATACTTCTAATATATGAATATATATATATATATATATAAATACAGTATATATAAATGTGTGTATGAGTGTGTGTGTGTGCGTAAAAGATCTCTGAGCTTGCATTGTGTCGAGTGTCTTAAAACTTGAAAAAAATGTAGGAAAAAGAAAACATACACTGGAAGACAATAGTATATATATTTTTAATCTTAATTCTCTTGAACAGTGTAAGACTGTTAAGTGGACTCGAGATCAGACACTGAGATTATTTATAAATGGTGTGTGTGGTAGAAGATCTCAAAGGGACTATGGTCAGAGGCCAGATGTTCTGTTTTAAAAGATTATGCCAACTCAGACATTTTAGTGATTCTATGACTTAGGTTTAAACACTGTTGTTGAGGCGTTAGTCGTTTATCTGTGTCCGTTCCAAGGCTCCCCTTTTCTTTCCCCTCAAACCTACATGATCCATGATCTCAGGTGGAGTCACAGGAGCGTTTACTCTGGGTCACAGCTGAAGGGGATATTGATGGTTTTAGGCAGCATGAAAGGAAAAACTCTCCTATGGTTTCTGTCTACCTCAAATACCATCAGCTTAAACACCCAGATTGACTTTGTGGTTTCAAACTAGCCTAAAAATCAGACGTAGAATCAGCATTTACTACACGTTTCTGATATGCATTGTGTGTCTTAGCCTCATCTTTCATTCAGCCAAGCTGTTTATTGTGTAGCGTTGATTCTGCCGCCTGAAAGACTTCACAAAGTGGAAGACTTTTGAGTGACCGATGTAAAACCAAAACTGTTGATTTATTCAGAAACATGGATTTAGTTGTGATTCTTGGATTTGTGACAAACAAGGTTTTCTGACCACAAAAACTACTTAACATGTTGAAATTCAGTTCACCGGTGACACAAATAAGAAAAAATCATTTCAAAGGATCTATTGTGGCTTTGCAAAAAAGCATTGATCACATGGGTGTTACGCTGTTCTATTGGGGTTTCATCTGCATGCTCTACACTGTTATGTAACATCGGTAACATTTCATTTCTGCACACTTGCTGTGCTAGTTACTGTTGATAAAACACTTAAAGCTCTAAAAGATGTTATTTACTGACCCGCATTGTGTTTATGCTTCATTTTCTAATGCAAAAGTAAGAAAATCTGTATTTAATACAGCAGTTGTTCATCACCAAGGGCCAGTTTACTTAATTTAGTTAAAGTCGCTTTGGACAAAAGTGTCTGCTAAATACATAAACTTAAACTTAATTTAATTTAGCCTTTATGTTCTGTCAGAGCTACCCTCAAAATGCCTTAAGCTAGTTTAGCTCTCGTATCGTAGAATGCTCAGATTTGATTAGTTCAGAAGTCATTCCTTTACCCTGTTTTGTGTCTTACCAACCTGCGAGTTCAACATTAACACAGCAGACCTACACACACGCTTGTTTAAAAAACACTTACTGAATCTGAATGGTGTTGTGTTTTGTGTAGAAACATCACCTATAGACATTTTATTTAGGAGCCTGGACATTAAAATCATGTCCTACCTTCCCCCTAAGTCTTAAATGTAAATATTTGTGTTAAAACTTAAAAGGTGAATCGTTTAATGCTAATTTGATGCAGTTTTTTTTGACAGGTCTCAACATCGGCTAAAGTGTGTGTCAATAAGTCTTCAGTGACCTTAGAGGAAATGTGCAATTTTCTTTTTTTCATTGAACAAAGTCTTTGTGAAGATGTGATGATGTATCATGCTGTTCCAGCTGCTCCGTTTGCAAATCATACCAGCAACAATGCAGACTTTCAGAAGTATTGAGCCATGTTTCAAGAGTGATCATATTGCCAAATGAAGAACAACTGTCTCTCAGGAGAGAAAAAAGTGGCTTAGCTGGATGTAAAGATAATGTGAAATGATCTGTGATTTTGCTAAAGTTTAGCCGTAGGTCTGTTGTTGATGGTCTTTTTAAAAAGGTCCTAGAATAGAAAATCATACTCATAGATATCCTTTTACTCATCATGATGATGTGGATTATAAACAGTGGACTGAAAACCTGTGTTGGTCACTACAAAGGGCTAAACAGTCTTGAGGGCTGCTATTAGGTTTGTGGAGACGCTTGGTTCTAAACTGACTTGATGATGAGCTCACATTATGTTATGATGCGTGGATGTTGGGAAAAGAAGTCATACTTGGATCCATTTTTACCATAATGGGTTAAACTGGCACCAGAACCGCCCGAGTCATTGTTGGTCAACACCCTTTATTTCTGGAGTGGTTGGTTGTTCCCAGTGGGGCTGTAGGTAGGAAACCTCATTATGGTCCTGTTTCTGTACCCTTTCCACTGGCATGTTCTGTACAAGGCCTTCACCCACGTCCTGTTATCTGCTCCTTGGCACAGAGGATCATCGCACAATGTGTGTCTGAAGAGGAACCATGTGTGGGTATATAGGGTGGAATGGGAAAAAGCCAAAATTGTTGATTGGTGAATATTGTATAAACGAGTATACAAATACATATAAATATATATATATATATATATATATATATAAAGAAATAAAATGTACATGAGATTTTATAAAATAATTTGAAGAATAAAACATAAAACTTAAAATTCCTCGTGCCTTTATTGACTTTTGAACTTATTCAACAGTTGTGATTCACATATTTAATTCTGTTTACTCTTAAAACTGGCCATTCAGAGACTGACGTTTATGTCCATCATAAATGCTTTATTTTTATGCCTTTCTTTGATTACTTCAGATGTAAAGAGTAACGTGTCCATTTTTCCAGTTTTGTCCATCATTTCTCACACTTGTCATTGTCTTGTTGGACTTCAGTTGTATCGGTAATTGTTTTTCTTTTCTTACATTGCCCACTAGGTGGAGATAAATATTAAAAGACAGAACGAGTATTTCAACCCCTGTGCTATGCAGAAAAGGAATACTAGTCTTAAATGGTCAAATACTTTTTTTAATTGCATGATGCCTTTTTTATCACTTCCATGTCAGTAACAGTACAATTTTAATATCCTTTTAGGAGAGTTAAGGGATTCTTTTAAACTTTAGATTAATAAACCAAAACTACCTGCTGCAAAACTAGTGTTTTTAATTCTAAGTTGTCTTGCAATCAGAATTTAAAATTAAGATCAGAAAAAGGCATGAACTGGCTCACGTTTCTACACAAAGATGTTGATGACATGTCTTTGGTTACACCTTATCTCTACAGATGACAGGAAGAAGAAAACCACTAAAAGCCGTCTAACGAAAATCCTTCAGTCACATTTGTATATACCACCCATATAGTTGCTGTGCAGTATCATTCACCTTTTATAAGACTCATGCAAGCCTTGACTCATGCTTAAAAATAAAAACATCAAACTGAAAATGATAAAGGACTAGTCACCTCTGGTAAACAACCGGAACATAAGATGCTCCCCAGCAGGGTCATATCAAGTCATGGGCAGGAGCAAGACTAAAATGCTGAGTGAGGGCCAACGTTGTCCTTGCATCATTCTGTCCACTGGGATATGTCGGGAGCGTGCTGACTAACAGCCTTTACATGTCTTCAGGGCGTTGCTAAGACGGTGAGAAAAGACACATCGCTGTCCAGCAGGACAGAAAGATAATGAGGAGTGGCTCACACGCTGGCCTTTGGATGCATCATCATCAGCAGGGAGTTTCATCAGTTCAACCAATGAAGTAAATATATGCACTTAACTTATTTGGCTGGAAATAATGTCTGCTTTAGTTTTGTACCTTGAAAAATATGCTAATAATTCAATTATACATGCACTTCCTTCACTTTCTTTTATTTGTGCATTTCAAAGTGCTGTGGAAAATAGATGTTCTAAATGGAAGTGTGTGTGTGTCATACTTTTACCCTACAGGCTAAATAATATTTTCTCTTCATTCCTTAAAGCAGAACTAAGCTGTTTTGGCTTGCTTTTAGCACCCCTAGTGTCCGTTTGTAGAACCAAAAGCAAAACCTATCCCCTCGTTGTCTTTTTAAACCTTAATCTAACAGCTGAATCATCTCCCCAGTCTTCCTTAGTATTTACGGGTGTGATTAATCATTAAATTAAACAAATCAGCTGTGTTCATGATCTAAAACATGCAGGAAACGTGCTGGAACCAGACTGCAGCGCCAGGTATGTCAGTTCAATTTTTCTAAGTCCAAACAGAGCGGCATGCCAGTCTGAAGTTGTAAGTGAAATATTCTGGCTACAGGGGGCGATAGAGGCAGGGTGTACTTTCATGAACCCTGTAAAGGGTCGTTTTTGCACATAAACATGTTGCAAAATAGAGTTAAATAAAATGCTGATTTTAAATTTGAGATGATTCTATAGCAACTCATTTAGTTCTAAAAGGGTAGCATAAATCCATGAAAGTTATTTTTCTTTGAGTACATTTACTGTACGTTATAAGAGAAAACTTGAGAATTTTTCATAATTTGTTCAAAAATATTACAAGGATTGGATATGGTCTCATATTAAATGAAAGTGAGTGTGATTTCTGTTTGGCGTTCTGTTGAATGTTTTTGCAAAGATCTTAGAAAAGCAACCCTGGCCTTGATTGACTTAATTCTGTTGACCTGTTTTAATGATCTGTCAGATCTTTATCACAGAGAGAATTTAGGAGAAAGGAAACTCAGCACTACAGAGACCAAATATCTCCATATATTCCAATGCTTTATTGATAATCTGGCTGAGGTCTTTAAAGGATATTCTCCAACACAGCTCATTAATTGGACCACAATATCAAAGGGTGACATATTCAGTTAAATGATTTCAAAATTACGGGCCTGGCATTCCTTGAAGGGATTCACATCAACCTTTTCTTTTCATGTCTCCTCTTTTCAGCCGTTTTGACTAAAAAGTTCTTTGTCAATCCAAAGTCATAGTAAGTTAGACAAAAAGATAGAGATGGAAAAGTGTCCCTGACAAACAACAGCTAGAGCTACATTCTAAAGAAAAGTCCTTGGGTACACCAGGGTTTTCATTTTATGATGGGAACTGAAGAATGGTCTGACACTGACAATAAGTTACATATGGTGGTATTGTTGCAGAATCCTTGCAAAGACTAAAAACATATAATAACATTTATTTCTATTTTTTTGTGATGCCTTTACCAAGATGGAGTAGGAGACCGATGGGTGGATTGGTGCTGCGCCTGCAGTGATGGGGTTGAACTGGTTTGTCGTAGTTAAGAAGGAGAAGCTCTCCATTTACCTACGTTCCTACCCTCATTCTACGGTCACAAGCTTTGGGTAGTGACTGAATGAATGAGATAGCGGATACAAGCAGCCGAAATGAGTTTTCTCCACAGGACGAGAAGCTCAGTTATCCGTGAGGGGCTTGGAATAGATCAACTGCTCCTCCACATTGAGAGGAGCAGTTGAGGTTGCTCGGGCATTTGGTTAGGATGCCTCCTGGGCGCCTCCCTGGTGAGGTTTTCCAGACACATTCAAAACGGCAGAGACCTAAAGGAAGACCCAGGACATGCTGGAGGGACTATGTTTCTCGACTGGCCAGGGAACGCCAAGACATTCCCTGGAGGAGCTGGCCCAAGTGGCTGGGGAGACAGGGAAATCTAGGCCTTTCTGCTTAGCTACTGCCCCCGCTACCTGACTCCAGATTAGCAGATTAAAATGGATGAATGGATGGACTTACCTTCACTACGACACAAATGATGTAATGTGTTATTTACGGATGGACCACCTGCAGAATTTTTCAGTATCACTGTGTTCACTCTTTTTTTCCTTGAGACCCACTTGGACAGTGTTCAGATCTCCTCTCATGTCTGGCTGCTTACGGTCAGCTGATTCATCCCTTCACACATCTTTGATGTTCTCTCTTCTCTTCGCTCTCCAATCAGTCCAGTGACTCACACTCCCTCAGAGGTGATCATGCTTTTGCTGAATGGGAGCTGATCTCTTGTATTGACCATTAAAACTCATTACATTTGGTTCCAAAGCAAATCCCCCCCCCCCCCCCCCCAAAAAAAAAGGGGTTTTGGAGTCATTAATGCACAAGCCAATAAACAACGTCCTGATGCATCAAACGCTTGCACACACACATAATTACAAATTACTCTCTGTTATGTGTTCAGTCAAAATCCCTCATGAGGAAACATGTTGTGGCTGTGCTGCCTGAAGTTCTCCACTTTGTTTTATTTATATTTTTTGACACCCTATCGTTCTCATCCTCTGACTTAAAGTCAAATGCTCACTTATTCATGAACCAGAGGAAAATAATCTCTTAAGACTTCAAGGCTGGTTGAGCTCATTTGTAATTTATTTGGGCTCTCTGGTTACCCGATTCCTCTGTGGAGTGGAATAAATAAAAAACAAGTATAGAGGAAGTCAATGAGTAGATATAATGTTCCCTTTTTGTGTGTCACCTCTGACCCCATAGCAGTGCAGGGGTAAATAACGAACAGTGTTCAACATCTAACTCAATGCTCGAAAAAGCCAAACTTTTGTTTTTATGAGTATAAGACTTAGCCAATTGCTGCATCACTGCGCAGTGTTTCATCTTATTTAATTGTATTCCTCATAGGTACTTGCGAGGAAGTTTTACTTTACTTTAGGTAAAAAAGTAGTTGGTAATGAGTAGTGAGTAAGTTATTGTTCTTTCCTCCTCTGTTCCTTAGTTAACTACCCATTAGTCCCTGGTCTATTACTCATTACCTCCTAAGTTGTTCCCTAGCAACAAAGCACTATTTTGTGTCCCTTTGTGTAAAGTGTTACCATTATTTTACATATTGTCATAAATCTTTAAAACATTAAGCAGTCATTTTAGGACAAAATCATTCATTAGACATTAGTGTAATACACTGCCCGGCCCCCCAAAAAATCTACCACCTGGATTTACCCACATAGGAACGAGCCTCCTATTGGATAGTTGCTACATGGTGATTGTCTTTCACCTGTAACAAGTTGTTTAATCCCAACTGGTGAAATGAGTTGCTTCTCAATTCCTAAACAACCATGTGGGAAAATACGTCTGGTGGTCATGGAAAAGATGTGAGTCTGTTTGAGAAGGGTCAGGTCATTGGCATGCATCAAACAAAGAAAATATCTAAGGGAGTTGCAGAAATGACTACAATTGAGTTAAGAACTGTCCAACGCATTATTAACAACTGGAAGGACAGTGGAGGCCCCTCATCTTCCAGGAAGAAATGTGGCCAGAAATAATCCTGAATGATCGTGTTCGGCGATCACCTAAACTTTTGATGAAATCAAATAGAAGAAAAATAACAATCAAACTCAGGGCTATGTTTAATAATGAAAGTAGGAGCATTTCCACAAAGGTAACTCTAGGGATCGGGACTGAACAGCTGTGTAACCATACCAGAACCTCTGATTAGTGAAGCAAACTGGGAAAAGGGCTTCAATTTGCTAGGGAGCATAAAGGTTGGACTCTGGAGCAATGGAAGAAGGTCATGTGGTCTGATGAGTCCAGATGGACTCTGTTCCAGAGTGATGGGTGCATCAGGTACAAGAGAGGCAGATGAAGTGATGCACCCATCATGTCTA